GATGTGTGTGTGTGTGTGTGTGTGTGTGTGTGAGAGAGAGAGAGAGAGAGAGAGAGAGAGAGAGAGAGAGAGAGAGAGAGAGACAGGGTTTTATGTAGTCTATATTGTTTTCAAATTTACTATGTCGCTAGGTCACCCTTGATGGTGACCTCTTGAAGAGAAAGCACCCTTGGCTATGAGGGGTTGTGCCCCTGGTGTGAATGGTATCCTTAGCAGGGGTGAAATGCTGGTTTGTGGACACAGGTCTGCATACGAGCCTGTGCACTGTGGTAACATGCTGGCTTGTGTCTCTGCTGGTCTAGTGGAAATCACACTCACCAGTCCCGAGATGCTCATAGCTCCCGCCGACTGACCGAATAGTGTTACACTGTCCGGGTCTCCACCAAAGGCCTCGATGTTCTCCTGAACCCAGTGCAGAGCCGCTATCTGGTCCAGCAGCCCCCAGTTTCCGCGGGCTTGGCTGTCGCCCGTGCTAGGCACACGAGATTCATGGTCAGTGTTTCCAAATTTGATCGTCAGGATTCAGAGAGCTGTCATGGTTCCCCATCTAAGGCTTCCTTAGACTTGCTCGCTCATGAGAGTATCCAGAGTCTTCAGAGCTTGAACTACCCTCTTCACTCGATCCCGCCCACGGACCAAGCCCCCTTCCTCCAGTCCCCCACTTTCTGAGTCTATGGCAGATAGGTGAAGGCCCCGCCCCTGGTCCAAGGCCCACCTGAAGAAGCCTAGGATGCCCAGCCTGTACTGCAGAAACACCAGCACCACTTTCTCGCGGGCGGCTAACTCCGAGCCTTCGTAGGTGGAAGCAGAGCCGACGAGGAAGGCGCCTCCCGGAAACCAAACCATCACCTGGGCAAGAAAGGTCTCCAAAGCCTGAGCTGGGCTGTACTGTAGTGGTGTGTGTGTGTGTGTGTGTGTGTGTGTGTGTGTGTGTGTGTGTAAAACAGAGTACTCACCGGCAGCAGAGGGTCCCCAGGCGCTAGCACTGGGGCATAAACATTCAGGTAGAGACAGTCCTCGCTGAAGTGCAGCCATTCATACTGCTTCCGCGTGTTCAAGTACATGGAGGTTACCTGTCCCCAGGTTTCCTGAAGGCACCTGTGAGCATGCAGTGAATTTATATTGGCAGCGAAGAGAATGCTTCCAACCCCAGGGTCAGCAATGACGGGCGACAGCCTAAGACAAAAACCTGGCAGACTCTGTGCGTGTGTGCATGCTTCCTGGAGGCTTTCACCAGTGGTCAGGTCCAGGACCGTGAGGCAGGCGCGTCTCTCCAGAATCCATCCTTCCTTCTACCATGCATCTTGACCTACACCCCCTTAGCCTGGGTAGTCTTTGCTGTTGCTGGAGACTGCCGATTTGATTAAGGCCAAAATTTGGGTGCTCTAGGTAGGTAACTCTCTGCCTTCGTGCCCCACCCTCCCAGACTCTCTTGTCTTCCAGGCGGGCCAAGGAACACTCTAGAACGTGTTTCCCTACTCCAAACACAGGGCCACCATCCTGTCAAGACCAGAAAATCTGTGGTCTACACTTCTGCTTAGGCCGGCTCAAATGGTACTCCTTCGTATGGGCCCTCCATCTGTGTCCTGCAGACCTTTCTCCACTCTCGACTGCAATGCTGGTTGAAATTATTTCAATTAAATCGCTTGTCTCCTGGGTGACTCAACCGCTCCTGGAGTGCAGGACGACAGGGGGTCCTAGCACTCAGCCAGGCACTGAGTGGACTTGTAGAGTATTTGAAGAGGAGTATGGGCGATATGGCCTCTTCCCTCCTCTCTCTGCTGGCCTAACCCCTGGAATGGCTGTTCTTACAAGTCTGGGGCTGATCCTACTTGATTGGAATCCCTGTCTGTCTGTTCATCCTTTTAGCTCTGCTCTTGTCCCAGCCCGCCTTCCCTTTTCCATATGTCCTTCCCACAACACTGTGCACCCTGACTCATCCCAAATTATCATCTGCGAGCCACCTTGACCAGCAGTCATCTGAGCTCTCTTCCTACAAGGACACATGTTCATGTTCTTTTGTGTTTATGTGTGCAGGTCAATGCGTGTATGTGGAGGCCAGAGAAAAACCTCTGGTGTCAGTACTCATGGAGGCCGTCCAGATTGTTTTTAAGACGGGGTCTCTTAGTTGGATCTTGCTGAGTAGTTGAGGCTCTGGCTAGTGACCCAGAGGATCCTCTTGTCGCTGGCTTCCCCAGGACTCGTGCTGCAAATTCTTGCCATGGCTCTTGGCTTTTTATGGGGGTTCTGGGGCTTGAACTCAGGACCTCATACTTGTAAGGCAAGTGCTTTAACTTACTAAGCTCATCTCCCTAGCCCCAGGATAAACTTCTACTTCACCTGGCCTCTTCAAAGGTCACCAGCAAGCAGTATATCTTCTTTTTTCCCTCCCTCCCTCCCTCCCTCCCTCCCTCCCTCCCTCCCTCCCTCCCTCCCCCCCCCCCCCCCCCCCCCCTTTTCTTTCTTTTTTTCTTCTTCTCCTTCTCCTTCTCCTCCCTCTCCCCCTCTCCCTCCCTCCCTCCCTCCCTCCCTCCCTCCCTCCCTCCCTCTTTTCTTTTCTTTTCTTTTCTTTTCTTTTCTTTCTTCTCCTCCCTCTCTCCCTTCCCTCTTTCTTCTTCCTCTCTTTCTTTCTTCTGAGACAGGGCCTCTTGAACTTATCACATAATTGAGGATGATCTTGAACTCTTGACCCTCCTGCCTCCCCTTCCCAAGTGCTGGGAGGCTTGTACCACTCTGCCTGATGTCACAGCTCTGTCTTTGATCTCTGCTTTACCCCTCCTCCTTTGAAAGTTTGTAGTGCCAGGATCAAGTCCAGGGGCTTGGGAATGGTGAGCGGGGCCTTTGCTTCCAGGCAATATTTCCGTTCCTTCTTTTTTCTTTTCTCCTTTCTCTAAATTTGACTTCTTTTTCTCCTTTCTCTAATTTAAAAATTACATTTATTTATTTGTTTGCGTACATGCATATGCTATGGTGCATGAATGGAGGTCTGAGGACACTTTTAGGAGTCATTTCTTTCCTTCTACCCTGTAGGTCCTAGGGATAGAATTCAGGTCATCAAGCTTGGTGGCAAGAACCTTTCTCTTCTGAACCATACCACTGGCCTGTCTCTGTCAATTCTAGGGTTTTGGAAGTTGCTTACAATACACTTCCTATTTTCTTAGGTAATATATCCTTCTGGAGTCTTTGATGGAGTTGAAGAATAGATATAGTTTTCCTTAGTTATGATAAAAAATAAAGTAGATATAAATATTGTGACTATAATTCTTGCTTGATATCTGTTTTGTTATATGTAATCTTGCTATGCTAAAGTTAAAACCTTCCTTTTTATTTAGACAGAAAGGGGAGGTGATTTAGGAGGTCATGTATGTTGTGAATATGTTTTATTGCCATTGGTTAATAAAGAATCTGCTTTTGGCCAATGGCTTAAC